CTAAACCTCAGTTTCCTCATCTTTAAATGGGAAAATTACCACCTATTTTCACTAGGCTGTTGTAAGGATTAAATGAGATAATGATGCAAAGCATTTAGCATGTAGTAAGCACTTACAAAATGGTGGTCGTCTTGTTTTTTACTGCCATTGAGTACGTAGAGGATGTGATGAATGGGCACTGGAAAGTCCTTGTAGTTCTTGAGCAGGGCTTAATTAATGGGGGTTTTAGGAAGATTAATCTGGCTGTGGTTTGTAGGATTGATGAGGGGAAGAGTCTGGAGACGGGGATATATCACAAGGCTGTAAGAATCATCTTGGCTTGATTTTAGGAAGACCTGAATTAGGAAGGTGGCAGTGGAAACTGAAGAGAAAGGAGAGTGGTAGGTGGAAGAAAGAATCTACAGAATTTGGTGACTTGATCTAGTGGTAGAAAGACAAATGCGGTTAGTTAAAGATGATCCCCAAGGTTGGAGCTGTAGAAACTTGGTAAGCCAGTGACAGAAGGGGTTTCCCGGTGCTATGTGGCATTCATCCCTCAGAGGTAGAAAGCTGATGTGGACAGGACATGAGTTACTAGAACGTAGGCGCCAGAGAGGGCAGGGAGCTCGTCTGTGTTGTTCTCCGTATATACAGTAACTCACATATAGCAGAAGCCCAAAAGGTGTTTTTTGAATGGCTGAATGAATGACTGCCTGACCAAATGAATGGTTGAATGATGGGAACTCTGTGCACCTACAAGTAAGTTAACTCTGAACAGTGATGTAAAGTAGATAAAGTTTTTAAATCATGAACAATAGAGCAGCCTCCAGTGGGGGGTTAAATAAAATTCACATTTAATCTGTGAAGAAAAATGTCTGTTTCTCAAGGAAAAATAACAAGCTGTCCCTCCAGTAGAAAGTAGTCACTGCTGAAACTTGAATACTGATACAAAGGGAATACTCGAATTCAGAGAATATAAAATAAACATATTTAAAATAGGAAAAAAAATACTTGTTCTTGTACATATTGTTTTATCCTTTCCATCCTGGGTACAGGATAAAAGAAAACTCTTACTTGCTTGTTAGAAGAAGAAAGCTCTTACTTGAAGTTCCTACTTGGCAGATGTCAGTTGAAAGCTCTGCGTATGGAATATGCTGCAGTGTCAAACTCTGTTGGATAATTTTAGACAAATGTGTCATGTGTGACATGGAAATGTGGCGTGCTGTACATTAGTGATTTCCCAAGTGTTTGGATCAGGTAGTAATGTGCTGAGAAAGTGCTCTTTATCTATCCACACAGTGTGCTTGCAGAGCAATGGGGAAATGCTTTTGGTGGAAATTACTTTAGTCAGAAAAAGAATCCATTTACAATATGTGCCTTCTAACATCTTTCGGACGATGCATTGTATTAAAGAGGCATTTTTTGATTAATGTTTTATAAACACTTTTCAGCGTGACAGCTTAAAGTCCCTGTAAAATTGTAAATGTGTGCATAGTGTTAACTTCCATAAAGTCAGATGCCATCTCATAAAGTCTAGTTGGATCCTGTCAACCATGGTGACACAGAATCAGTACCTGGGAGCATTAAAATTAATTTGCTTCATTTGTATTACTGCAGTGATAGCAAGATGAAAAGAGTCCTATATTTAACTTTTACTTGAGAAAGAAAATCTGTTCTAGCAAGTTTGTTTGGTTTTTAAAGTTATTACTATTTTTTTTCCTAATGAATGAACAGAATGAAAATGCTGTGGTAATCTGCTCACTAACTTTATGATGACCCTTGACAAACACAAATCCATTCACGCAGTGCACTCCTTATGGGCACGTGCAGTATGCTCAGGGATGAAGAAGCCCTCCCTGACCTTAAGAAGTTTCCACCTTAGTGAAGGAAAACACAAGAAGCAGGCAATGATAGTGAGTGTGGTGAATGCTAGGTTGGAATGTGCTCAGGGTCAGGTAAGCATGGAGTAGAAAGGGTCTAAAGGCCAGCCTGGACGTCAAGGATGGCTTCCCAGAGGAGTTGACTTATGAATCGAGGACGAAAGGGTATGGAGGAGTTGGGCAGGTCAAGAAGTGGGTGATGGGCATTCTGGGCAGAGGGAGCTCATGTGCACAGGACTAGAGGTGAGGCAGAGCATGGCGCTTGGGGATAGGTGGGGAGGGCACCACCAGGTGCTCATCCTGGTTGAAGCACACAGGTAGAAGAGTGGAGCAGTGTGAGACATAGAGGGGAGGAAGAGAACAAGTTGAGGGCTGGGTCATGAAGGTCCTTGTACACCACACTTAGAAGTCTATCCTACGCGACAAACTTCTAACAGATTTGACATAATCCAATTTGCACTTTAGAATGTTCACTCTGATTGCAGAGTGGGCAATGGCTTGGGTAGGACAAGCCTGAAGGCAAAGAGACCTGTTTGCAGAACAATGTAGGAAGCACAGTTTAGAGTCAATGGTGCCCTGATAGAAGGTTATGGGAAGGAGGAAGTGTGCGTGTTGGTAGATATGCCCATAAGTAAACTGTGTCACATCCCACTTTCCGGAACGCGTAACTACTCATTCAAGAGTAGTTAATCCTTTATATGTATGCTAATTGAATGAATAAATGAGCGAGTGAGTGAGTGAATCAGTGATCCAGTGAATTATTAGATGGAGTAAGAGGGTGAAAGAATGGTGCGTTGTGTAATTGCATGTATTATTCAATGGGTTCCATGGAATAAGAAGTAGCTGATTTTCACTGATCTGACTTGAAGACCAGATTTTGTCAAATTCATAACCAGAATCACAGTATAGTGGGTGCAATTGCTCTTGGCAGGTTCAAAAATCTCTCTCTCTTGAGTTTCCAGTTGTCGTCCTGATAAAAACCCGTTGCTGTCGATTCTGACTGATAGTGGTGGGAAACTTGTGAAGATGCCCCAAAGCAGAGATATTAAACTCCCCACTTCCGAATGGTTGCTACTGTAGCACGGAACACTCCAACAGGGGAAAGTTAACTTTCACTCTACTTATCGCAACTTCTCTTTGTACTTGATATCTCAAACTGACTCTGCCTGATCCACAGAACTGAAAATTCAGGTGGCCAGGTTGCCGTTCAGACTCCACCAGAAAGTTTCCTGACTGCTAAGTGCTTCAGTGTCCTCATCGGTAAAATGGTGAAAACTTTTCACCGACCTCACCAGCTCATTGTGAGGCTTAGTTAGTACATGGAAAGCACTTGACAGTGCACGAGACACAGTAGCCCTCAGTCCTCACTAACCATTATTATCGTTACTATTGGTATCTTTGTGTACCTAATTCACTACATTAAAGTGGATTCCTGGTGTTGCTTAATCATTAAGATACCTTGTATATTTTACAGTAGGTTTTTTGTTTACTTATGATAGCAACAGCACCTGTGACTATCTCTATGGCTTACCTTCTGAACCCACTTAAGAAGGTGATATGCCAGGAAAGCTTGCTGGAAAATGACAGACCAGAGTCTTAGCCAAGAAAGGATGACTAAGGTGACTTAGGCCAGCGGCCGAATTTAGAGTCAGAAACCCCTGCTCTGATCACCTTTAGGGATAAAATATGTTCATACATCTATCACCTGCTCCCTTTAGCCTCATTTTTACTCTACCCCCCCGCCCCCGCTCCTCCTCCTACCCCCCCCCCAGTCCCTTAGCATCGTCCCTTTGGGCCAAGAAATGAATAAGCTTTCTTGGAAGCAGGAGGGGTTGAGTTCAGGTCTTAATATTTTCTCACCATAATATCTTTCAGGACTGTAGTATCAGATGCTGCTTTTTCAGCTCTCAATGGGTTTTTTAAGTATGTTATTTTTTAAAAAGGAAACCATTTCATTTTTTATATTAAAGACAGAAACTATACAAAAATCTTCTTGTCTAGTTTTGAAGCTCTGAGAGAGACTCTGGGGAGGGTTAAGTGTTTTCAGCTTATGGCGATGATATGTGAGGCTGTGAAAAAGAAAGCACTCATGAAATACATTTTTGCATAAAGGCTGGAAATTTATTAGATGGTAAAAATAATTGAAAAAGCGAGGCCTTCCTTGTTGGGTTATAATAAAAAGTTATTTATGTGCCACCATTGTGCCTGTTATTGTTAGGAGCTCGGGTCCTTTTCAGAGGCTGTTCTCAGAGAAGCAAGAAGAAAGCTAAGCTATTAAAGCTGTTGAGTTGAAAAAGCTGACATATGTGCACGGCAATTTTGATGAGCATGGCCATATTAAAACAATTGGTAATAACAGTTAAACTGCCAATGTCTGAATTCTGTTAGTTATAGAAGCTCAGTAGGCTCGTGCTACAGGCAGCTGCTTACAAAATATGCACACCACTGCCCTTGGCATAATAATAATGGTAGACTCCTGAAGTAGTATTCATTTACCTGAGCTCCATTAAGACCTTCACCGTGGGTTTGAAACATTCAGCACTGATCTTACAATTCACCTGCCTTGCACAAGATTGCCTGAGCCTTACTGTGAAGTGCTTTGAGATCCTAGGCCAGAAGAGAACATGCAAAGCCTTTATTAATGCTCATTTGGCTGAAGTGCCCTCCTACTTACAGCAGTATATACCATACATTATCTTCTCCTTTCAACTCTCAAAAGTGAGCTTCAGGGCTTTGAAATGCTGCCAGCCAAGTCTCCCTAAAGACCATCACTAAGCAAAAAAAGAGATCCATTTTTAACTTGTATCTTACATATTTGTCCGACTTCTTTGAGCAACTCTATTCCACACTGTCCTCTCTCCTCTCCTGGTCAGACAGGCTGCTAATCTGCATTGAGAGCTATCGGTGCCCTCAAACCCTGACCACCTTTTCAGCTTCAATCTGGTTTAGAGCTGTAGGTGGTGAATGGAAGATGGAAAGATTTGGTGACTCGTTTGAGATGTTGCCTTTTCAGTTATGTGAATCCATGAAGGGGGAAATACACCAGTGACTTATTCCAATGCTTCAATTTTAATGGAGTGTGTCTTTAATTTGATGACAGACTGAATTTGCCTCTGTGTTTCTGCCTTCTCTGTTCATCAGGAATTCCGATGCTGAAGATAGTATTTGCAGGCCATGAACACCTCTCTTTAATATCTGTGCCCTTGCTCATCTACCACCCAGCTCAGATCCTTCTGGGAAGTGTGCTGGTGCCAACCATCAAGTCTTGGATGGTGTCAAGGCAGAAGGTGAGACTCTTGAAAGATCTCATGTGGATCCTAATTGGATTGAAATGCTATTCCTGAATCTTAGATGTTCGCACACTAGCTTTTGGTATAGCATGTCCTCATTCTCATGTACATATTTTCTTAGCTAAATACAATAATATGGGTTCATTGATCCATTTCAGTTTGAACAGGAGGGTTGAGGGTCGAATGTTTGAAATTGTTATAAAAGTACAATTGTACTTAAAACACAGTGTTGAAAATCTCTTAAATCGTTCCTATTGAAGGGCATCTGCATGGGTCGAGGTTCAGTAAATAAACTCAAACTCTGTGCCCCTCCACTCTGGCACACCATCTCCCCCGCCACCCCGTCTTTCATATATGTCCTGATTTCACAAGCCCTTCTAAATACAGCAAAACCTAGCTTTATCTAGAAGTCCTACTTTGTTTTTAATTTTCTAAACACACAATTCCTGCCTTGTTTTTAATTTTCCAGACACAGAGCAACTTCTTTGTAAGGCAAAACTACGTGTTTGGTGTTAAAAATAAAATTTAAGTAGCAAAGGAGCCCACATCATGTTAATGTCATCAGACTTAGCTCAGCGCCTGTTAACATCATAGATGTTTGTGGGTTTGATTTCCTAAATTATCAACCAGATTAAAACCGGATGATTCACAAGAAGCTTGGATGATGCATGTACCATTGTAGCACTGATAGAGTGCTTAGACTTTACAGGACTTATTTTTGTCTGTACATGAAGCAGTTGTTATCCAGCAACTGCAGGAAGGACAGACATCCAATGAAAGTGCCTACGTCATGTCCTTATTCTCGAAAACCAAATAGCACACTACCACTTACTGAGCACTGTGCATGCGAAGCATGTCCCATGCATTACCTGGTTCAGAGTATGGACTCCTGAGTCAGCTTACCACTCTCTCCTGTGTGACCTTGGGCATATGCTACTTCGCTTCTCTGTGCTCAGTTTCTGCCACCCTAAGAATAATGATATCTACACCCTACAGTTGTAGAGGACTACATGGAAGATGTTTAATAAAAGCTAGCTACTATAATTATTGTCATTGTTGTTTATCTACAGCATTGTTCATAGCAGGCTTTGCTGTCCCCATTTTGCAGATTAGGAAATAGGTTCAGAGAGTTGAGCAACTTGCCCAAGGTTATATGGGTAGTTTAGTCAGTGGTAGAGTTAGGATGAACAAACCAGTCTTGAAGTACAGCCAGAATGCTCCTTCGAAGCAAAGATGGCGAGACTTCATCTTGCTTACTTTGGGCATGTTATCAGCAAAGACCAATAGCTAGAAAAAGGCATCATGTTTGGTAAAGTAGAGAGTCAGCGTAAACAAGGGAAATCCTCGGTGGGATGGACTGACACAGTGGCTGCAACAATGGGCCCAAACATACCAACGGTTGTGAGCCCGGCACAGGACCAGGCAGTGTTTTGTTCTGTTCTATGTAAAGTCGCCATGCGTCAGAGCAGACTCAATGGCAGCTAACAACAACAAGGGTTACAGCTTGAACCCTGGTCTCTTTGGCCTCGAAAATCTTTGCCCTGCATCCCGATGACACTCCGGACAAAAATATAACATCACTTTTAGAATGTGTATTCTAGACCACCAGAAGCTTGCCTGAGGAGTTTAGCCCATCCGGCATCTTCACTCATTTAGTTATTTAACAAAATATTAGCAATTACTATTCCCTGCTGGGTCCTTCTATGGGCTCTGGTCCTCCTACTAAGAGTTAGTAGAGAAGCAACTGTTTATTACCTTTCTTCTTTCTTTTACCATTTATCCCTTTTGGAAATTAGAAACAATGCTTCCATTTGCTTTTATGCTTATGTTTATCAATGCACAAGTGCATTGTGGGTCATAATTTGTACAATTTAAATTAGGACAGAGATGAAGAAAATTATTTGAAAATCTTAATACTGTCAGTAATATGCAATCATAGTGAACAGCAGTTAATCAGAGTGAATTTGTCTTTTAAATGTTTAAAAGCTTTGGGATTTAGTCTACAAAGTAAGAGAAGCATTTCCAAAAGGGAGACTAAATTGGACAATGCTGTTCATTTTCCCTTTACACAGAAACCACTCCAAACTAGGGTGCCATTGACTAAGTTAGATTAAGCCAGAAGGCCTGGGATATTTATCTGTCCCTTTTGACCCCTAAAATAAATACAAAGAGTCATCCCTCAGGGTCTCTATGAGTATCTCCTCTGCTTTGCAGACAATACTGATTGAGACCCAAAGTCACCACCTAGTGCCCAGCTGGACGTGAGTGGGGTGACAAAGTCCACTGGCCAGTGACATGGGCAGGGGATTCTGTTCCCAGAGGTTTGGATTACCAGTTATATAACGTTATGTGGGCTGCTTCTTCCATCTAGTAACATAAATTATCTGGCGTTAATTGCTCTCACTTTGCTTGTGGATACTGTCCAACTCTGAACAGCCTGTTTTCCTTTCTTGTAGGGAGTGAAGTTGATGAGGCCAGCGGTATAACGAAGGAGGTGCTCTTTGTGCAGTGATGTACATATGTACAGGCTTGTACATACAAGCAATCCTGAAGACTTGTACTTGTGAATGTTGCTTCGATGCAAATTTTATTTTTTTACATGAAAATATGATATACCTGTTTAAGTGCCTTAAAATGTATTTGATAAGTGTTATTTCCAAAACCTACTTTCGGTTACTACCAGGGGTAGTACAATATTTTGGAGTTGTTTATTTATTTTCCCAAATGCAGTGAACAGTCATAGGAACTGACAAGCAAACATACTGTCTCTGCACCACCTTTTTTTGCAATACGACTCTATAATCATTTCTGGACTGTTTGTAATGAGGTCACACCATCAGGAAAATACCCTTCCAATGACAGTGAAAATTTCCAAAGTCTTATTCATGAATACTTTGATTTATTGTGTGGCTGTTTTTTTCTACAAACTGTGACGTCTCTTTCTCATCAACTCAGCAGGGGTCACAGATTGAATAGATGCTGAAAAGCACAAGTTATCTGCATTTCTTGACATCATTTTTTCAGACATTCCTTCAAATAGTTTCCACATGGAAATTCCTCAGTTCCATTATAAGAGATTGTGGCATTATATGGCTTAAATTTATTATAAGCTGCTTCAAAAAAAGAGTCTAATGTTTGAGTTATGAGTAAATGAAGTGAAGTTTTGAGGTAAACTACAGGATTTGGCTTTTGGGATTTTTAAACTATATTTCAACATGCTTTTTCTTCTTTCTTCCATAATTTTTTTCTTTCTTAATTTCCAGCACATGGCTTGCAAGTTCGTAACAGTCATACGCAAGACACAGAAATGTTACAGTTTGAGAGCAGCAGCAATTAAAGATAGATTATATTCACATTCCACAACCGAGACCAATTTTTTTTTTTTTTTTTTTCCTGTTACAAAGGTGTGCTGAGCACTTTCCAGATTGCCCCTTTTAGCCATAAGTAGCCTGTTACATCCTGGAATTAAACATACACGTAAGGCATTCAAGACAATTTTTAATGAGAATTTCCTTGGTAGATTTGATAACTGTTCCCAACATTTTTTTAATTAAATCATATTGCTCTTCTGAATAAATGAAAACATAAGAGTTTGGATGCAAACAAATGTTACATATACACCTTCTGTCTAGCCAGATGGAAACAAAAACAGGCACAGAAAATGCAGTTTTTCATTAACCGAAATATTAAGTAAAATTAGCTCCCAAGTAGGCATCAGCCTTCAAAGGAGTGGGCAATATTTGCTTCTCCTGTGGCGGGAAGAGCTTTAACTGCACCCGAATAGAGAGCATAAAGCAATATACAGAATTTAGGGAACACTTTTTCTCTGTTTCCTACACACCAGTCTATCACATCCTATCTACATGCCCTTTCTCAGTTTGACAAATAACATTGCATCTTGGATTTTACTGAGGCTGTGTTATATCCTCAGCAGCTGGCAACAACAAAATCATTCCTTAGATGATAGTGTGAATTTATATTATTGTTACTATCAGGCCTCATCTTTTGTTATTTCTGACTCATTTAAATATCATTGAACCTCATAAATTTCACAGGAGTTATCCTCAGTGTAAATTTTAAGGCTAGTGTCAGACCTTGCGTAAATCTATGATACACAGGCTGTGGATACATTGTTGTCAAGAATTTCACTTGTGTCTAAACTACAGTACTTTTGGTTGATACTTTGATGCTTACATATGGCACATAGAAAGCTTTTCTTTTTTTTTTTTTTTCCTACAAGCTTCTTTGAATTTCAGAGTGGAAATGACTATCTGTTTGTCTGTCTAGGCTATCATAAAATTCTTTCTCCCTAGCATTGGAACACTGATTTTTTTTCTTCCCCAACTGATCTACCTCTATTGTATAACACCTATAGTAGGTGTGATTATGGGATAAAATTCAACTGAAAAGCTTTGATACATTTTATCCTTTGCTTTAAAAAATGTGTTTTGTTTTCAAATAATCCCATGTCTATTTCTTTTTTCACACCTTTGTGCTTGTGCCTCTGCTGGCTCCTCAGCTTAGAAATCCTCCTCCCCTGGAAGGCTGACTGAAATGTCACCTCCTCCACGAGGCACTCCTGGCTTTCCCAGGCAGTGCTGGGATTGCTTTCTTTGGCACTCCCTTAGAACTCATCCCTCAATGTTTTCTGTCCATAGTGAATTTTGGTGGCTTTAGTGATATGTTTATGTCTATTTTTTTAAACACAAGTTCTGCAGCATATTTTTCCATAAAGAGTAAAAACTAATGTAAATTTATTTTTAATTCGTGCTTATGGGGACTTAATTATTCATATCTTGAAATATGTGTATGCACTGTCAAGCTGTTTTATGAATTTGTTTTGTCTAAATGTATTTATGAAAGAAACACATTAGACTATATGTTTACCCTTTTTCCATCTGGATTTTTTTTTAAATATGGTTGCTATGAAATTTGATTTTTTTAATGGGCATAGTTTTGATCTTTTCGTGTGTTCTTTCTAATTTTAACTTTTACAGGGTTTTTTCTTTTTTTTTTTAACTCCCTATTCTGTTTAAAACTAACCCACCTCTTGGTAATGTTCAGTGTTTGTTTATGCTAAATACCAAATTTTTTCAAAAGGATTGGTGAAGTAATGAGGCAGATTCTTTATGATGAATGGAAGATAAAAATAATTCTATGATTAAACAAAGATGTTTCAGAAATCATAAGAAAAACTGTTGCTTATTTTTAACCTGATTTCAGATGCACTCAGAGTACCTTCTGAGTGTCTACAGATGTCTCTTGATTCACTCCACTGCTATTATATCATTGGTGGTTAAACAGACTTAAACGGCACAGTCTCCCAGGTATCCATACCGGTTCTTCCACCATGCCATAATGTTAAAACCTGGAGGTAATGCTTTTTTTTTAATTAGAGATATGTTTTCTCTGCATCAAGGTTGAGGTCTGAAAGAGAAATATACCCAACAGAAGGAGCAAAATTTTGGAGATCAGAATTTTAGCCACCTTGTCATATTCTTGAGGGGTAAGAAAGATGAAACCTTAAGAACACTTTTTCCAAACCTAGTGTTTCTTTGATGAGCAAGTTACTGTGCATAGAATTTCACACCTTGTGTTCTTGCCTCTGCTGGCTCGTCAGCTTAGAAATCCTCTTCCCCTGGAAGGTTGATTGAAATGTCACCTCCTCCACGAGGCACTCCTAGCTTTCCCAGCCAGTGCTAGGATTGCTTTCTTTGGTACACCCTTAGAACTTGTTCCTCAAGTCTTCTGAAACTCTTATATATAGTCTGATCATTAGTTTATGTTTCTGTCTCCTCCTTAAATGTGGTCCTCATTTCTGTTTTTCTAGATACTGTGCCTAGCATAGAGGAGCAGCCAAAAAAATGTGTATTGACTTTTCAGATCTGATCTGAATAGACAAGATGTGAACCTTAAAATTAGAGAGAGCTCCACCCTGGATATAACTCATTACTAATTTATGAGGGAAACTTTTTTTACTGCTATTCCAATCCAAAAAAAAAAAAAAAAAACACAAACTGTGAAGCACTGCATTGTGCTACTCCTAGAAATCCACTCCTCTCTAGCTGTGTAAATATTAACTCTCCAAAGTGAGACTGCAGATGTGACATGCAAACAACTTTCGTCTTATATGAATTTGACAGAGCAACAAACCCTCAATAATTCAGGCTAAATTAGGTTGGGTTGATTGGATTAGTGATTATTTTATATCCACAAAAAATAATTTTTAATAGAAATTCTGACCTACTTATTGTAAAGACTAGATAAAACTTATTACACCCACTCCTCACTATCGACATGGTTAGGTTCCAAAGACCAGGTCACTATGTGAAAATTGACATGATGTGAAATTGGAGGATTACCACATCAGATCACAAAAAGGAGGATGACTACATCATTACATAACTGCCAAATTACATCATTACATAATTGCCAAACCACTGAGAATCATGGCCCAGCCAAGTTGACAGATAACTGTATCCATCACATCCAGCATTACTCTAGCCTCACATCTCTGTGTTTGTTACTGCCAGACATATATCGCTAATGTGCAGATAGTTGGATAGTAGATTTTTTATTATTGTCGTAAATGTGAAATGTCATATAACGAGACAGTCAATAAGTGAGGAGTAGGTGTATTATCATCATTGATTTGTGTATAAACAATATGAGAGGTCTTATAAGAGTTTATTCTCTTTAATAAACCAACTAATCTTATTTGCACTATAGGGTAGTTTTCTCAAATGTGAGTAAAATACTACCATTTAAAGGGGGAAAAATTCCCATAAGCCCTGGAGAACTCATTCACAGACCCAATTATGAGAAAATCTGCATTAAACAGTAAATGCTGTCGCTCTAATAATCAGTTGGTGCCAGTGTGGTTGTACACACGAATGCAGACAAGGACACTGAAATCGCAGGACTGTATACAGTCATAGATGGTCTCCAGATGACCCCCAGTAGACCTTTCCAGATCTTCATAGACTTAGGATTTTTAGAATCAAATAGAATTCAAGTATCCCCAAGGAGATACGCAAGGATCCTCAGAGATCCAAGGACCTCACTTGGAAAAACACTGCTTTAGATTGGATCTCAGGGGTTTTCTTACCTGACAATGCTGCTACTCCTCTTCAGGCTACTAGAGATAGTTGTACCTGGATTTTTTATTAATTTTAAAAGTAACAGGATCATAGTGAGCGGGACAAAAAAGATATTAAAAAAATACAGAAAAGTTGTGAGTCACCCATCTTCACTCCCAGAAATAGCCCCAGAAAACATGTCACTGTGTATATACTTTTAGATTTTTTTTAGATATTTTTTCTGTGAATATTCAAATGTTTTCAATAAATTTATTTTTAATATTTTAAACTATTCTGAGCTTGCTCTTTTTTCTCTTAGTGTATCATTGTCTTTTCATGAATATATATTTTTGTTGTCTGAATAATATTTCACAGAATGGATATTCTGTATTGTTTTTAACCAGTTTCTTATTGCTGTACCCGTCAATTCTTTCCAGGGTTTTACTGCTACAGACAATATTCTGTCCTAGAATAGGCAGCTTCTAAAATAAATGCCTTTATTCCTAGAAGTAAAATTGCTGGGTCAAAAGGTATCATTCTTAGTGTACTTCTAGACAGAATAAGGCTCACCAACTCTGCAAAATAAAGAATATATTAAAGCTATTACACCAGGAAACTATAGTATTTGAGCAAATGCTTTATTCAATTTTTTAAGCTAACACTCATTGAGTGCATATTATGTGCCCAGCATTTTTCTACCTTCCTTACATGCAGTAAAGCATTTAACGTTTATGACAACCCTATAAGGCAGGATGTATCGTTATCCTCAGATTCCCTCGGTGATGCAAACAGTTAATGTGGTTGGCTGCTAATCAGAAGGTTGGAGGTTTCAGTCTACCCAGAGGTGCCTCGGAAGAAGCCCCTGGTGATCTACTTCCAAAAAATCAGTCCTTGAAAACTCTGTGGATCACAGATCTACTCTGACACACATGAGACTGCCATGAGTTGGAATCAGTTCAACAACAACTGGTACTCGTATTATTATTCCCATTTTACAGATGAAGAAACTGAGGCACAGAAACGTTACCCAACATTACACAGGCAGACTGGCTCCAGAGCTCATACTCCACACGTTTTTCATGATGAAGTGAAAACCAGAACCTCGTGCCCTCTCTCTAAACCACTGTTGTGTGCTCTGCCGAGATCAACACACGATGTGTGCACCAGCCGACCCTGTTGACTGCCTATAGCTCAACTACTAAAAGTGTGGTCCGCAGATCAGCAGCATGGGCATTACCTGAAGCTTGTTCCAAAAAAATAAAAAAAACAAAGCAAACCTGTTGCCATTGAGTTGATTCCGACTCATAGTGATCCTATAGGACAGAGTAGAACTGCCCCACAGGATTTCCAAGGAGCGGCTGATGGATTCAAACTGCCAACCTTTTGGTTAGCAGCGGAACTCTTTAACCACTGTGCCACTAGGGCTCCAATAATTAAGAAAAGAAACATTTAATTCAGCAAGAATTTTCTGATTATTCATTATATGCCCAAACATGAGTAGGCATTGTGGTGTATTATTAAATGGGTACATAATTGGCCTTTACAATTCCAATTCATTTGGGAAAATAAGAAACAAGTAGAAAATACTATAGATAGATATACATATAGTATATATGTATGTGTATACATATTTATGTAATACACACCCACTCCTCACTTATTGGCATAGTTCCAAAGACCAGGTCATTATGCAAAAATCAGTGTTATACGAAAATGGAGGATGACAACATCATTACATAACTGGCAAATTATATCATTCATTACCTAATTGCCAAACCACTAAGAATCATGGCCCAGCCAAGTTGACATATAACCTTAACCATCACAGCCAGCATTACTCTCACCTCGCATCTCAGCATTCAGTACACTGTTAATGCGCAAAGTAGACAAATAGTAGATTTTTTTACTATTGTCGTAAATGTGACATGTCAGATAACAAGATAGTCGATAAGTGAGGAGTAGGTGTATATACATATAATGTGTTCTAAGAAAATGTTTTTATATAATATACAAAATAGTACAGCATATATTATACATGAAGCATATATATTGCATACCAGTAAAACCAGTTGCTGTCCAGTTGATTCCGACTCATGGCAACCCCATAGGCTCCAGCCTCCTGCCCTGTTAACAGCTTTTCCTCTCCCCTCTCTTGTCTCCCTCACCCCCAAATCCACAGAAATTTACTTACCTCTTTGTTCATTCTCAGACTTCCTGAACGTGCCCAAGGGTCTACTTGCAACAGCCACAGGATGCTTTAAAAAGCCACCTTCCCTTTGATGGCTACATAACCTGACAGAAGCTTCCCAATTTCCATTTGCCTCTCCTTTAAGCCAACTCACATTCCTAACGTAGGCACTGGAATGAGGTAATATGAAGATTCACGAACGTTCCTGATAACCTGTGCCCCAAATGCCAGGCGAGGGGAAGGGAATATATGACTCTAGATACACAAGAGAAATAGGCGATGGATATGAATAGGCAACTTATGGAAGACAAAATAAAAATAGATAACAGATATATTTTAAAACAGTCAATCTTACCAGGGAGCAGAGAAATGTACATTTACACGAGAGATCATTTTCCACCTATGAGACTGACAAAAAGCATAGAGACTGATAATATCCCTACACTGACGCTATAGGGAGAAGGCACTCACGCACTGCTGGTGGGAGGATAAATGGAGATGAAATCTGCGGAGGACTATTTATTGGGGATTCAGTGGTAGAATTCTCACTTTCTACGTGGGAGATCCGGGTTGGATTTCTGGCCAATGCACCTCATGTGCAGCCACCACCCATCTGTCAGTTGTGGTTTGCATGTTGCTATGCTACTAAACAGATTTCAGCAGAGCTTCCAGACTAAGACAGACTAGAAGAAAGGCCTGGTGATCTACTTCAGAAAATCAGCCAATAAAAACCCTATGAATCACAATGATCAGATCCTCAACTGATCATGGGGATGGCGTAGGACCAGGCAATATTTTGTTCCATTGTGCATGGGGTTGCCATGAGTCAGGGGCCGACTCAACAGCAGCTAACATTTGGCAGTACTATTTTAAATATATGTGTTGTTCAACCCAACTCTCATTTCTAAGACTCTACCCTGCAGAAATAGACAAGTACACAAGGATCTGATGACAAGATGTTCTTCAGAGCATTGTTAAAGCCAGAGTGGAGGCCACCCACATTCAGAGAAATGGTTAAATAATCAATAGTGTGCTCTTATTATAGAACATTATTTTGCCATTCAAAGGAATGATCACCAGTTCTTTTCTCCTACAGAGCTACTGGTGGGTTCAAACTGCTGACCTTTGGGTTAGCAGCCGAGCGCTTTTAACCATTGCGTCAAAAGGACTCCTTTAACCACTATTAGACTACATGTGACAGTGGTTACTCCCAGACAGCAGGAGTGCAGAGGAGGTTTTTTTATTACTATTATTTTACATTTTTACTTTAATCACACTTTGGAGGGGTTATAATAAGCATGTAACATCTACAACTTCTTGGGGAAATGGCATAATTCATTTGTAGGCCATGGCACTTTTGTCAAGCAAATCATCTTTTGGTTAAGGAGGAAGAGGCCCCTAAGCACAATCTAGGTGGATGAGGGCAAGACAAGGCAATCAGATTGCTCTATGAATTAAGGTGAGTGGGATTTTGAATTAGAGAAGACAGTGTGGAAAGGGGGGGCTCTCAAGAGGTCCAAAAATAGGAAGAGAAAAAAGAAGGGAGAAGAAGAGAGGAAGAAGGCTCAGCAACATGGCAGAGAGTGAAGAGAAAAACCACCCAGTGAGAATTCTTTGTGGGCAAAATGGGCAAAGGTCTTCTGAGGACAGTCACTGTTCAAGTTCATACGTGGAAAGGGTTTGGGATAATGCCTGGCACGCATTAGTAAGCCTGTATAAGTAGTGGTGGTGATTGTTATTATTATCATTAG